AGTGTGTTTGACACCTTCTGTTGCTCCAGCAACACAGCCCAGTCACCCCCCCCCCAATGGGCCGTGTCTATTCCAAGCTCTTTCGGGGAAATGTCCCCCTGGTGCAGCACCACCAGCAGCAGGACGGCAGGAGCACTGATAAAGGTGGTGCCTTGTCGACAATTCTAGTTTGCACTGGTGGTTCTTTGCGTGACTCCACAGACCAGTTGAGCTGTTTGTCTAGCTGTCTTGATGGAGTTGCCCGCTGTTTCTGTGCCCGGTGCAGTGCTTCCAACTGCTCCATGTAATTCTTCTCAAAGTCCCGGCCACCCTGCAATGTGATCACTCGCTGGTTCCCCACAGGGCGAGTCAAACGTTTGCTTCGCTCGGGAGCATGATTCTGAAGTCATTTATTTGATCTAGTTTTTACCTGAATTAAATTGAGTAAAACTATTTTCCATTTTTTAAACTGAACTGTAATTAACGCGTTTCAACTTCATGAATGCCCACCTAGCTGCCACACAGACAAGGGCTACAAATCACTGGTTTGAGCATTGGCCTGCTAAACCCAGGGTTGTGAGTTCAATCCTTGAGGGGGCCACTTAGGGAGCTGGGACAAAATCAGTACTTGGTCCTGCTAGTGAAGGCAGGGGGCTGGACTTGATGATCTTTCAAGGTCCCTTCCAGTTCTAGGAGATAGATATGAGGATATCTCCATTTATTTATTTATTTTATTTAGAAATCCGCATCCTTCCTCAGATTCAATGAGAAGCAAATAAACCTTCAACTTTCCCCCAGCTCCTTAGAAGCAGTAAGCCCATTGGAGATACTATATATTCAGTACCTAGTTCACTGGCACCAACCTCAGAGGGCCAGACAGCTGAAGGAGAAATGCCACCCAGGTTTGATCTCAGTGGGAGGCACAAAGCATACCACAAATACAAGGGTCGCTAGCCCCATAAATTTGGAAATTAACTCGAAGATGAAAAGTTAGTTATTTCCACTTCATCTGTCACTCTGGATGAGACACTGGAATAAATATTTGGATTCACTTTAACAGCACAGAGAAGTCTCTGTAGAAACAAACTTCAACAGAGGCAATGCTAATAAAAAAAGAAGTAATCCCCTAGAGCCCAGCAACGCTGAGAACCAGCGTGAAGGCACTGATCTAGAATGTTTTCCTTGCGGTGGTTTAGGAAATGATCACACTGCTTTGTGCACTTTATCAGCTGCTTCAGGGGATGCATCTGCACCAGCCTTCCTGGTCAAAGACAGTCACAGATTAACGCGCCTTACATTTTTTCATTTTTGACTCCAAATCAATATTCTATTACTGAACACCCTGCCTGAAATCTCTGCTCAGGGTTTCATAGAACTTACGAACAGTAAACCCCCGACTATGCTAACTCCGCAATTCATCATTAAATTTCTGGCAGTGCCCATAACACTGGGACACGTCTCCGGCTAAATTCCATGTGAGAAGATAGACCATACTTACGTGATGGGGGACCCTTTCAAAATCATGGGTTCCCAGGAAAAAGATTTGGGGGTCATGGTGGATAATCAGCTGAACACAAGCTCCCAGTGTGATGCTGTGGTTAAGAGAGCTAATGCAAACCTGGGATACATAAACAGGGGAATCTTGGATAGGAGCAGAAAGGTTATTTTACCTCAATATTTGGCACTGGTGTGACCGCTGCTAGAATCCTGTGCACAGTTCTGGTGTCCACAATTCAAGAAGGATGTTGAAAGTGGAGAGGGTTCAGACAAGAGCCATGAGAACGATTGAAGGATTAGAAAACATGCCTTGTAGTGACTATGCTCATTGAGTCTGTCTATGTAGCTTAACAAAGAGAAAGCTGAGGGGTGACCATAAGTATTTCCATGGGGAACAAATGTTTAATAACTGGCTCTTCAGTCTAGCAGAGAAAGCTCTAACACAATCCAATGGCTGGAAGTTGAAGCTAGACAAATTCAGACTGGGAAAAAAAGCATTTATTTATTTATTTATTTTTTATTTAACAGTGAGTAATTAGCCACTGGAACAATTTACCAAGGGGTATGTCCATCACTGACAATTTTTAAGTCAACATCGGCTGTTTTCCTAACAGCTCTGCTCTAGGAATGACTTTGGGGCCGGTCTCTGGCCTGTGCTGTACAGGAGGTCAGACTGGATGAGCACAATGGCCCCTTCTGGCCTTGGGTCTACGAAAGGCGCACACACCAGTAGCCACACCAGTGTGTGCATCCTGCCACTGCTGTGTACAACTGCAGAGCATCCCGCTGTAATCCATCTATGCAACAAGGCGGGTTATGTCTCTCACTGAGAAGCACTACATAAATTCTTCCAGCTTAGGGCACGTCTACACTACAAAATTAAGTCAACTTAAGTGAAGTACAGCCACCACAGTAATTACTGTGGTTTTTCATGTCCACACTACCCTCCTTCTCTCGGTGGTGTGCATCCTCGCCAGGAGCACTTACACCCACTGAAGTGGGGCACTGACAGCTGGCTCCCCTGCCCCCCGCTCAAGCTGTCAGCCCCATGGCGGGGGAGGGGCCACTCCAGCTCTGAACCCCATGCGGGGTTGCCAGCCAGGTGATGTAAATAATGCAGGGTCTACATGGACACTGCACTGCCATGACTACACCACCCTAAGTGCTAGGCCTCTCGCAGAGATGGAGTTATTAGCTCGGTGTACTGGGCGACTTACATCTGCGGGAGCGACACTGTAGAGTAGACACGTATAGAGTTAGGTCAAGGGAAGCTGCCTTGTGTCGACCAAACGCTGTAGTGTAGACTAGGCCTTAGATTGGGAACTATGTCCAAAGCAGCCTACGCTATGGATATCCCCCACCGCCCTCAGCGACTGCATGGTAAGGCCACAAAGAGTTAACCAGGCATAGAAGAACAGGCATTTGCCCAGTGCGTTTCCCCACTCCCACTGATTACCCAGAAGGAATCCTTTTTGCTAGTTATTGAACAATAAAATAACTAATGCCCAATTGTCCGATTGCCCCATTCCAGTCTAGTGGGATTTAGCCCTGGATTGTCAGCATCTCTATGGGAGTCAGGCACCTGAGTTACACAGACAGTCAGACCAGATAAGCAGAATGGCCCCTTCTGACCCTAAACCTGTGAGACACACCTTCTGTTGGGGGTGTAGGGAGGAGCTGGCTATACCATGGAGATTTTCCCAGGCCTCTAGGAGGCTCATCCCAGGGTGGGCGTGTGGGTATTAAGGGGGCTTTGAGCCACCTTTGTCCGTGCTTGATCCTGGGTTACTCCAAGGACTGGAGAAGCCCTGGGGTGACTTAGAGAGCCCCGGAGCCCTGTCTGCTTTAGGGCAGCCTCTGTGGGCTGCCCCAGGTATGCAGGCCGGGGTGCTGCAGCCCACCAGAGCATGTCTCCTCCACCAGAACTCAGGAGGTCCCTGGAGGGCAGCCTTCCAGTTGCTTCTGCAGTGCTTGCACTGGGGGAATCCTCCTACAGCCAGCTACTGGGGCTTTAGGGCCCCATGACACCTCTCCAGCCCATACGCCTGGTGCACAGGGACCAGAATAGGGGTGAGCAGCTCACTCCCTTAGGCTTCCTTTGAAAATCCCATCCTATAGCACTACGCAGCTGGGACCGCTCCATGAATCTGAACCGGGGCAGGGTTCCTGTGAATGGCATCCCTCGGCATCTCCCGCCAGCACTGCCAACGCTCACTTTGGACAGTGGCTGGAAAGTATCAGTCAGCAACTCCAGTGACAGTTGCTGGGGAGACGTATTGTGTGTTTGTATTAACACCCTTCTGAACCCTGCGCCATTCCCCAGCGTAAAGCTTTCTCCCCACAGCACTGCGGGCCAGCTCTGGGGAGGGACGGTTCCTGGTCTTTTAGGAGAAATTCATGAACATCCTCTTTCTCTCACATGCTGTTTTTCTGCTCTAGAACCCTTGTTTTCCAAATTGATCATGCTTTCGCACCGAACAAGCAAACACCTGCCACCTACCAGGAATACTGGGTTCAAGGCTCTTACTAAAACGTGAAAGATTAACTTCCCCACTCCAGGGCAACCTGAGAACAAGCAGGCTGACCAATAATTATTAACTGTTCTGGTTCCCTAGGGAACTTTAGTGACCTCCCTCCCTCCCCGCATTAAGTCTCTTGGGTCTGAACTGTAGCAATTATAGTCACTAGTTCAAATAATTTTTAAACTTAGAAACAAGGGAACTTTGTGATTCTATGATTTGTGAGACCAGTAAATTTAAAAACAAACAATCAGAGTTTTTCTTAGCATATGTTGTTCCTGTACAATTGTGTGCTGGGTGAAAGGAGTTCAATCTAAGACAAAGTTCTAACTGCAAGCACTACTGGTTGTTAGAAACAGTTGTGCTCTGTTCTCACGGTAATGTTTCCACGTAGGTTTAAAAGAGTTTCATTTACAACATTGTATAACCCTGTTAAAATGCCATCAGTTTTAAAAACATGTCTCCACTAATCACCTGCTCTCCTTGCTTGTCTATGTATTTGCAACTATCTTGGCAAATAGTCAAATATCTGATAAAAAAGATAGACTTTGGTGCCATTAAAATTTTCCAGCGAACACATAATATTTTATCAGCCAAGCCAACAGGCAGCAAAGGAGAAGTATTTTTAGAAGAGCGCGGATTCAAACGGCTCTTCACGATAGGGCATGCTCTCGTTCTGTCAGACACTTGGAAAGCAGTGCTAGGTGCTGCGGAAATAGAGCACCACCACTGAATCCCACTTGCATTCCATTCCACACGCTAGCGCTCCCATTCTTGGAAACGATATGCAAACTTTCCCATTGTAAACGATTTCTGAGAAATGCAGATACATGCTCTCCCAGGAGTGTTCACTAGGACATTGCCACAGCCTGTTAAATATAAAACCCTTTTGACCCCCAAATCTAGGCAAAGCCCCACCAACAAGGACCACGTCTGGGCCAAGTTTCAGGGTTTCACCTTCAGCTTTTTTGCTGTAGTCCTGTTAAAAAAGGAATTAAACAAAAAATGAAGTTACACCCCTCACACTCTCTCTCTCTCTCTCACAAACACACACACACGCGCGCATGCGCCCGCTCTCCCTATCCATTTCATGCTCCTGATTTCATTGGAACCTGTGATTTGGGGCTGTGGGGGACTTACCTGGTATTTATCTGGATCAGCCCCTCCAGCCTGAGCCACAAAGAGCCCAGCCCCATCCTCCAGTTCCATCTCATCGGGAGAGCGCTCAAAGCGAACCCGGCGAAACTCCTCACAGTTCAGGTACAGAACCACCTCGTCATCCTCCACGCTGATGGCAAAGCGAGTCCACTCGTTCGCTAGGGAAGGCACGGAGAATGTTGCAGCTGCATACGAGCTCTCGGAGCCCGGCTCTGTGTAGTAGAAGATGATCTGTTGCTTCCTGTCGTGCACGGCGGAGAGCTTCACTCCGACATAGATGACCGTCTGCGAGGCATCTGTGATGGCAAAGAGCACGCCGGCCTTGTCGGTGGTGGGCTGAACATGGAAAAGGAGCGAGAAGTCTCTATAAAAGGGGCTAGACAGGTGGTACCGGGCCACTTGACCGGTGTTGGCATCCGGCCCAAAGACATAAGCGACAGTGTTGTCGGGGCCATTGACTTTGGTTATTTGCTCCGGTGGGGGATCTCCAATCAGCTGCAAAAGACTGACTTCTGTGCTGAAATGTTCTGTAAGAGAAGAAAACAGAGACGTCAAAAACAAGCACGTCATGGTTCAATGCAACAGCGGGACACGCCCCTGCAGAGCCTCGGATGGGAAGATGTCAATGCTGAGTGCACCGGAACCACAGGCCTTTACTACCCACAAATGCCACCCACAAGAGATCACCTTGTATGCTGACGCCAACAGGGCTCTGTGCAGATACACAGATTGAGCCACGCATGTGCCGCTGCCGGGGTAGGACGATTGGAGCAGAGCACGACGGCTACAGTGCTAACCGGTCACATCAGGAGTAATACTCGTTCCTAGGCTCCCCTTCCTCACTGCAGTCTGCACCGCTCCCAGGCGTCAGGGTTGGGAGTTACTGAGATGCACGGCATCTTATTAGCTGACTGGCTAGAACGCTGGGTGAGTATTTTAAAAGTGCTGTTGTTCTTCTGAAGGTGTAACATAGTGACTGTAGCTTTAGGCGGAAAGGTTCACACTCCCATCTCTGCTCATTCGTTACTGGCATAAACTGAATTAACCCTGGTTGTTTCTGTAGCTGGTTAGCCTGGACTTTTTAAACAATGTCTTTCATGGCTAAGATTGTACTCTGGTGCACTGGTGTTAGTGGCTGGATAAATCTGATCTGAACTAGGGGCACTGGACGGTGTATGTTAGGCCACCTGACAATGAGGCGGTACATGGGGCTAGCTAGACTGGCAGAATCACTGAGAGTTCTCTCCCAAAGCTGAAGACAATCAGTAAGGCAAACGAGGTTTATATGGCCCTCTTTCTGATCACATTCCTTTACATCCACCACACAGGAAACTCTCCTACATGCCTTCACTGTGGTGGGAAATACCACCTCTGGAACAGAAACGAGAAGCCAATCACATCAGGAGCAAGTGTGTTATCGAAGCAAACAAGGGAGATACATTTTGTGTTTCTGTGCCTAGGATCTGAGACAAGCAGACCCTACCACAGCAGACCATTAACAGCGGTTATACAGAGCCACAATTATGAGGAGTTTTGCAGGCAAAGGCATTGAGGTCTGTGGTGGGGTGTCTGCCCCACCCCCATGCTAGAAGGGGCTGCAGCAGGCCAGTGCGCCTGTGCAGCCCAGCAACCAATAAGAGAAGGGCTTATTGGGAACCAATCAGGGCCAGGCACAGCCCTATAAAAAGGCTGCTCAGAGAGGCGAGTCAGTCTGTCCCAGACCTTCAGGGAGGAAGATCTGTCTCCTGAGCAGGTGACCAGCACCCAGGACAGCGCAGTGCTGGACAGGCTCGGGGAAGCAGAGTGGAGCTTCACCCTGATACCTGCCAGACTGCCGGCCCTGAGTAGAAAGGCCTAGAGGGTGCAATGGGGTCCGAGGGGAAGTGACCCAGGGAAGGCTGAAGGTAAGGGGAGAGGAGGAGGGCCGAGAGGCTGCCATCAGAGGGTCCCTGGGTCGGGACCCAGAGTAGCGAGCGGGCCTGGGTCCCCCCCTTACTCCCTTGTGCTGCACCAGGCCGTGGGACAGTGGCCGAGTCAGGCTGCAACCTGCCCCCTGACGTAAGAGGGGCTAGACTTGGGGGTTGTGGCAGGCCGCTGAGGCCAGTGCAAAGACTCCTGGTTAACCCCCCACCCCCAGAAGGGAGTGTGGATGGACAAAGGGGCACTGCCGGAGGGCAGTGGTCCGGAAGAGGACGCCGCAAGCCGGAGAGCAACGTGGGTCCACACGCCAACCAAGGGCGAGACAACGGGCGGGACACCACCAGAAGAGGGCGCTCCACTGGACTGAGCTAATTCCCGAGACCACCAGTAGGAGGCGCTGCGGTGGTGAGTCCCAACCCCGTCACAAGGTCCAAGGAGCATGTTACATTTTGAGAGCCCTGTTCAAACACTGCACATGAAGTGTGCTCTGCTGAATCAGGGCCTAAGTTAACTGGGTAAACTTTTTGTTCCCACAACAAAAGAAAGTACAGTATGTTACATAAAAACCAGAAGTGAGGTGCGAGGGGCTCACACCCTCTTTGGTACAGACAGCCAGTGCTGGTGTGGTTCAGCCACAGTTTTTAATCAAAGGCTTAAATTGGGATCTCCCCCTTGTGCTGTCCCGCATTACTGAAGGAGGCTGGTAGCTTCAGATAATGGGAGTTGGATGTGAGGTGTGTTACGTTAGGGTCACCGGCTGTCCGGTGTCTCTCCTGACCTCAGAGGAGATGGAGTGGGCTAGAGAGGCAACTAACTCCTGAGTCCAGGAGAGAGAGGCTGCAATCCTCATGCAAGCAGGGCCAGGAGGATGCGCCAGCAGTGAGCGGTCAGAGCATGACAGCCTGAGGGGTGCTGTGCTTGGATCCATACAGGAACGCGCTCAGGCTTGTGATAGACAACAGAAGCTTATTCTCCAGCGACACTTGCCAAACTTGGCCCAGCGAGTCCAGTAACACCTGTCCACCCCCGTCTTTCCCATTTCCTTCCTCTGCTTGTAGTGGTTAGTTCCCATACGGGGCAGCGGGGACTGTTTCCAGTGGAAATGCCACAGCACAGCCAAGGGCGAGATGGAAGCAGGCAGCATGCAGAGATGGAATTCATACAAATGACAAACGTGTCTCCTTTCCCTGAAGTTCGAGGCTTGGAGCGCCAGCCAGCACATACATAAATATTACTAATTATTCTTCCTTATAGCAACCAATGGTTATAGTTCATACAAATTACACAAGAGAATAGAGCAGAGTCCAAGAAACACCTGCTGCCATCCATGCCTGGCCTGCCACCACTACCCCGGAAATGCTGCCTTTCTCCAGCAGCCCAGGGTTTTAATCAGCAGAGGGGATTATCACCAAGAGGAGAAGGGAATGTGTGTGCGTGGGACCCGGGGAGGGGAGTAAAGGTCATGTGATAGGTTTCTCCGTTCCCTGTCAGATTCCCCCAAGGAGAGCAAACACATGCTACTTCTTTCCAGGGTTTATGGGAGAACGCCCTGTCTCTCAAGAGCACATCATGTTTGACAGGCACAAAACAAGTTACCTCTGAACTTGGCTCTGGGGTGGCTTCAGTCAGCTGCCAAGGGCCCTCGCAGGACAAGGCAAAGCCCAGGAATGAGGTACAGACCACTGGCACTCAACAGCCTTTCCAGGGTTCATTGGGAGTGATATTAAGGGCCTAAGTTTAGCCGGAGAGAGTTGGCACCTGGGGGGTGAAATGCCCAGACAGGCTCGTTCAATAGAAAACGACCCCACTGCCAGTGCTGGGACTGATCTGCTGTGGGAACATGTACAGCTCCACCGGTGTAACGTAACACAGCCCCGCGGCAGCACAGAATACGTGCAGCAGCTCCCCCACGGGCATGTCTACCCTGCAGCCAGGAGGTGTGACGGCAGCACGCGCACACGTACCCAAGCTGACCTTGCTCTAGCTAGATCAAAGCTTGTGCGAGTAACAACGAGAGCCTGCGGCAGGGGGCAGCCTCTCCAACGCACACCCGGGTCCTGGGCAGCACTGTGTTCGAGAGGCCGGCTCGTGCTCCTGCCGCCCCTACACGGCTATTGTTAGCGGAGCTCCCTTTGGTCTGATCCAGCGAGGCTAAGGGTAGCTCAGGTATGTCTGCCTGTGCTGCGATCACACCTGCTGACTGCTGCGTGGGTACACCCAGCTGCTGTGCACAGGGCCGGCTTTAATGGGGGCGTCAGTCTCCTCGTCTCACATGGGCCCAACCTGCTTCCTGCTGTACCTTAACGGCCATTGGTTTGCTGCCTGTGAAGACTCCAGCTCCCCACAGCCCCGACTGGCAATTGGGTCACCACAGGGAACCTGGAGCCGGATCCATTCACTCTCTGCAGCTCATGCACTACTTTTCCCCGAGGAGGCGACCGCCTGCGTGTGTGTTTAAATGCCTGGATGCCTGCTCAGCCCGTATCATGTCTGACTGGCACTAGACGTGGCACATGCCGGCCAGAGAGGATGGTACATACGAGTGCCATATGGAGAGAGACAGAATGTACCTCTCCCACTCTCCCCTGGCGGGGATACAGCTACAGGTAGAGATGCACCATGCCAAGCAAGCCCCAGCCCACCACTCTCAGCCCTTAGCACTGACCTGCACCCCACCACGGCCCTGCGTGCCTTGCTCCACTCTGCTAGTTGCAGCTTACAGACTGCAGAGGTACCTGGGTTCTAGAGGGAGCTAAATCAGGTTCGGACCCATGTTACACCCAGAATCAGGGTCGTCATTTCTATGCAGCATGTGACGTAGGTGGGGGAGTCTCTATCGAGTGTAAGCAACAGTAAAGAAACGGCGAGGGCTCTCAGAAAAAGGTGTTCTCCTGGGATACTCTGCTAGCCAATAGAACGAATTAAGCCTGAACTATTGCACAAAAGTATCGGTCTGAGCCTGGCCTCTTGGGTAAGCTTCGTCTCTGGACTAAGGGCTTTGCCATCAGATCCCACAGTGCGGTGCTGTAGGAGTGTATTTAGGGGGGGGACTGGGGGCACTCCTGTATGAAAACGACTCAGGGTATTGCCCCGCTGTATTTGAAAGCCCTGAGTCCTGCTATGGTGCCAACATTCACACTCACTCACTCACAACTCAAATGCAGTTAAAAGGAAAACACAACATGCTACAGGCTAATTGCTTAACAAGGCCTCGAGTAACGGAGGATGGGGCAGACATTGCTTTAGTTCTGCTTGGCCCTTACCCTCCCCTCCCACCGCTATGCCAGCTTGCATTAGGCTACTGCTCCCCCCCCGGGCACCAAAGAACGTGGCTCTTGACAGCATACTTTGATGCCTGGTGCTCTCTTCAGATGAAGCGTGTACAGCACTGCTGGTGCCTTCCGCGTGCGAACGTGCCGCTTACAAGTCACAGAGACAGACCAGCACTAGTGCAGATCTTCAGTCATGATTCCATTCCCAAGGCCACGCTCCCACGTGCCCCAGCTCCTAATGGAGAACATTGCAGATTATGAATGCTCATGTAAAGCAGCATCTGTTGCTTTCTGGCAGCAGCTGCGCTCTGGGGGCCAGTTGACACTAGCACCTG